ATGGTGAATCCCAAACCTGTAAACAAACAAAAATATCAATTCAAATTTATAAACATATAAAAAGTCTCAATACATACCTTAAGAATGTGACTAAGTCGCTGCTGTTTTGCAATCTAAATTCTTTTCTCTTCTTCTTTTCAATTAAAATTTTTTTGTGATGACATCAAGGCGCGCGCTACAAAGCGGAGGAGAAGCTCGGCCAAACACTAACATATGTGTAAGCGCCAATCTATTATTATTAACAATAATGCCACTTTTTTGCATTATTTTTAAAATTCAGCGATTTTAAATTTTGTTCCGGCAGCATAAACTCATCGTAGATTATCTGTACGAATCTTCATTACGAACGGATTCAATGAAGACTCTCTACGAATTTCGAGTTTACATTCGTAGCTATTCGGGTTCAGTAATAGCACCTTTGTAGATTTTACGAAAATCGGACCTACGATGAATTCAGTGATAGCCCCGAATACCTTCTTTTTGTCACCGTCGCGAATTTGTATCGCCCTATTTATTTGTCTATTTCGCGTTTTCCTTGGTGATTTTTTTTTTTGCAATTTCGGCGTTTTAACTTTGTCTATATGTAGGTTTTCAAGTCCTAAAAATTCTTCCACTGTTAATAAGAATTCCGATGTAGTGTTAGTGCATTTTAAAGGCGAGTAAATTTTTCAGGAGAGTAAATATACTCCAATCCAAGCAAAATCCGAAAGCTGATGTAGATTCATTCGCGAGGAATGACGGTCACGTCTACGTATCGGGAACGACCGCAACAAACACAACGATCACTACGATCTCTAAAACTCTGGGAACTTTTGTGCTGTTACAAAATTTTCACTAATTTACTTTTGCTCACAGCATTTTTAGTTAAAAGGCGACCATGCCTGTATTCACTTTGGTAGAGACCCTAAAAGGCAAATTTCGGTTATAGGCAAACGATATTCAATGGCACGTGTTATGAGATGTATGCAATACAAACCTTAAAGTATTCAAATAATGTTTATACTATTAGAGGTCTTCATCAAAAGTGATAAACTGTTGATAAACTTGATAAAATGATGAATTTATCATTTTGAAAAATGAACTGTCAAACTTTGTATGGACATCTATTTAACCAAAGTTTATCATTTTATAAAACGATTTTGGTGGATAAACGTATAAATTTCAGCAAAATTCGACCCTGACTGACTGCCAGGTGCTACGAACACATAAGAAGCAAATTAGCAAAATGGACGAGGTAACAATTAAACGTAACTAGCCAGATAAGTTAAATAATAAAAAATTTTGTGCAATTATTTACAAAGGTGCTTTCATGAAAGAATGCGGATAAACTGATAAATTTAAGCAATGCATCCCTTTATCACTTTAGATGAAGGCCCCTATTAGGTAATTTTATTCCACTATATTTTTCATACTTTCCTGATACATTTCATTTTTTAACATATCTTTCGTGTTAGTACAATATGTATTAGAATTGCTGTTTGAAATATTAGCATAACAATTTATGATTTTTTACAAAATATTTTAATTCTATTAACGGGATAAGTTGTATCTAAAGTATTGATAAAAAAAACTTATAACCAGATTTTCTATATAAAATCGATCCTACATCTTGCCCTGCTCGCGCTGCAATCGGTTGCTGTATGTACGGGACACCAAATTCCAAGAGTCCATATATCTGTCCATACACATCGAAATGCATTTCTGGAAAATGTAACAATTATAAGTTTTTTATTCAACATATTACAATGGTAAATACTTAAATAAATTAATGTTTACACATACAGTAGATCGAAAAAATAAAGAAAATTGAAATATGGTATTTCCCAAACACCCCCAAAACCAGTGTTCTAAAATCGATCGATTCTGAGTACTAATAGTGACTTTTGGTGGTGAACATGGATTTAGAGACTATTTGGTATTCAGTAAGCTGTCTCACGTCTCTAGTTTCAAAAAAAGTCACTAATGTTTCAGCTGGGTCTGAGCTGGCCACAAAAAGAAAAAAATATGGAGGAAAAGATAATTGCTTTCTATTTTATTTAAAAAAGAGAAAATGAAGCGAAGAAATATTTGTTCAACAACAATTTCATTAGGAAATAAACCATAATGCGTTAATATCATACAAATTCATTGAACAAAATTTATTTTTTCTTTTTAAAACATTAAAATCTAAGGATTATGTTAAAAAAATAAAACTAACAAAAAAAGAAAATACTAAATAAAAAAATAATAAATCCTCCGAGGAGGACTCGAACCCGGACCTCTCGACCGGCAGCTTAATACTTTTACCACTCGGCCATTGCGACGCTTTGAGCGGTGCGGGCAAAAGGCATACATAAACGCTATCAGTTGGCAGTCTGTGTTTGTTTTCACCACACATTTCTGGTGAACTTTTTGTGACTCTCTCCTACTGAATACTCAAACCATCTAAAGTCACAAAAATAGTCACTAATTGCTAGTCTCAAATTTAATAACTTGAGATGAGACTAAGTTACTGAATCCCAGGGTCACACAGTGGTTCAGAGCAAACATTTAGCACGAATAAATTCGTATCTCCTATGAACTGCAACCGATTATGCTCGGACACAATAAGCTTCTTAAGTGGCACTTTTGAAGCAATACCTCGTTTCGATACCTCTGCTAGTACCGGAATTATGGCCAAACGTATAGATACAATAAATGGATAAGATACACTCGTTAAATTATAAAAAAAATATGGATAAGATACACTCGTTAAATTATAAAAAAAATATGGCAATATCGATGTCAAATGAAAGATGATCGGAAGTTTTTTAATCCAGACATATTTTCAGGTTGCCACCCAGTCAAAATTTTAAACTTATGTCGCAGTATTCATTTTCATGGTTGTTTTTTCCGAGAGAAACTGGCAACTGTGCGCAGTCTTAAACTGTACTAAGATAATTGTTACCACACACCTGCTCTCTGAGAGCACTCTTCAACAATCCGACATACGCGAGCAGTGGAACCACATTTCCCGATCATTAAGTACCGCCGCCGAAGAAGTAGTTGGATTTCAGCGAGCCCGAAAGAACAACTGGTACGATGAGGAATGTCAAGAAGCCGCAGAGAAAAAAGATGACGCCTACAGGGCCACGCTGCGATCGGGCGCAACGCGAACCATGTGGGACCGTTATAGGGAACTGAAGAAGCAAGCGAGACGGATTTGCCGCAATAAGGAGAGAGGCCGAAATACGTGAGTGCGAAGAGCTTGAGATGCTGGCCGACAGGAAGAACGCCCGAAAATTCTACCAGAGGGTTAGGCGAATTACGGAAGGTTTCAAGACCGGGGCGAACTCTTGTAAGAACAACAATGGCGACCTAGTGACCGATATCCGGAATATACTTAAATTGTGGAGGGAACACTTTTACAACCTACTGAATGGCAGCAGCGCTGAAAGTAGTGAAGAAAACGGACCCGAGTCCCAAATCGATGATGATGGAGTAGCTGTCCCACCGCCTGACTATGAGAGGTACGTATAGCAATAACGCGGCTGGAAAACAACAAAGCTGCTGGAGCTGACGGCATGCCACCGAGCTATTCAAGTACGGCGGCGAGGAGCTGATGAGGTGCATGCATCAAGCTCATATGCAGAATATGGTAGATGAACGCATGCCCGACGACTGGAATTTAAGTGTGCTCTGACCAATCCACAAAAAGGGACCCCGCCATACGCGCCAACTACCGCGGAATCAGCCTTTAAGCATAGGTTATAAGGTCTTATCGAGAGTATTTGCGAAAAACTGAAGCCCTCCTTCACGACTGATTGGACCTTATCAGTGTGGCTTTAGGCCTGGAAAATCCACCATAGATCAGGTATTCACAATACGCCAAATCTTGGAAAAACCCGGGAGAACAGGATCGACACACACCATCTATTTGTCGATTTCAAAGCCGCTTTCGACAGCACGAAGAGAAGTTGCCTCTATGCCGCGATGTCTGAATTTGGTATCCCCGCGAAACTAATACGGCTGTGCAAAATGACGTTGAGCAATACCACCAGCTCCGTCAGAATAGTATTTGGCTACATCATTAAGAAAACCGAGTTTTAATGTTGTGTGAAATTCGAATTTGGTTTCGTTTCGTTTAACCATACATTTTAGCAGCGAAGTACCGTACCATAAAAGGAAATGCATGTCATAAACATGATGTGAAAGAAGTGCAATTTTTCCTGTAGAAATTTAGTATAAAAGGCACAGTAATGGAAAAACCGAATATCAAAGTTACTCACTGTATATGGAAACGTCAAGCTTAATAGTTAAGCTATTTTTTTTAAATCATTACCAATACCTGCAAACACCTGCAATTTTTAAAACCTTAAAAATGTTCGCAAAAGTACTTTTAAAATTATAGTTTCATAAACCAAGTCGTATTAAAAAAAACTATTTATTAATAATAATAAACAATTACAAAACTTACTCTGGGATACTTTTTCCATAACGTTCACACAAAAAAACCACACCTTTCTAATAAAAAGATATGTATTTTACGAATTACATGAGACATATAAATGCTAGGTACACTGTATTTCCGGTTAGAAACATTTCGAGTGTGTTTTTCACTAACAAAAAAAAATATTTATTATTTCCAATTTTTACTGATTCGCGTAGTGCATTCTTTTGGCTATTATATAAACATAAAAAAAATCAGGTATGCACACACACAGTGGGTCAGTACAGATACTGGTACTCAGAGTCGATACCAGTACTTAGAATCGATAAGTTTGCAGCCTATTCTGCATTTCGATTACGTTCCCGCATTCCGCTCCGCAAGAATCGAACTTAGGTATTCTGCGTTACGATCGGATCGAAAGAGGAAGAGAGAAACCATCTTTCGAAATCAGCTGTTTGCCTAGGAATGTGTGAAATCGAAACAAAACAAAAGAAATATTTGCCATCAAACTATAGCAGCTTATGAAGTTAAAGTTTGTAAATACTTTAAAATAACTAAATATATCTGACATAAAAAAATAAGATTTCGTTTGTGCTTTATTTAAGTGGAAACATAATTATAAAAATGAAATCCATAGCCGCGGCGTTATTGCTTGAAGAGGAGAACGAGTCCCAGATTGCTGATGCGGAAATTGAAAGGCGGAGATTTAGGGACATGTTTGATCTTTCTCAGATGAGTGAAGAGTCCTAAATTCATCATGAACTGTATTACTCATCGCTCAAAGCAAGTGAAATTATAAACGTTGTTTGAGCACTCCACAACATTTGCTACACAGAGTGGAAGATTTGAACGCAAATGAATTCCATTTTGAAAGCCGTCAGGAGGAAGGGAAGAACAAAGCTCCATAGCAAATTAGAATTCGACAACATACGCACCACTTTTTAAAAAGTTATTAAAAACGAGTGCAATAAAACCAGCATCTTTTTTTATGTAACTTCACATTTTATGTATGTTGGTATGTATGTACATACTTCTATTAATTTTATATACAAAGAATAAATTGTATTCAGTGCATTTCACAGTCTTATTATAGATAATGAAAACAAAAACGCCTGTGCTTCCTCTTTGAAAATCTCGCGCAATATACCTTTTGGTTGCTAATATTTGAGCCATATTTTCGTATTGCCCGTATTACCGCTGCGAAAACACAGAAATCGAGAAAATTCATTTATGATGACTTACAATCATGCACAGCATATTTTACGTAATTTTTTTATAAAATTTTATTATTTAAACCCACGAAAATAACAATCAAACGTTCTCCGTCAACAAATTTGTAACTTAGAAAAACGGAACTCCGATCGAAATGTAGAATAGGTATAATCGTAAGATTGATCGAAAAGAAACCTTTTCTAACTTGGCGAATATTCGTAATCACTCCAGCGTCACGTGGCAGCTCTTTTTTGCAATAGTATTACCTTTACCGTTACCAATACATATTTTGAATATTGGCCAAAGTGGATCATCAATAAAATTTTTAGTAATAACTTAACTCCAGGGTCAACTGGTGGGTGAATTGGGAATCTACACCATCCAGAGAGTTACTAAAAAACACACAAAAAACTTCGTTCAAAATCCGTCCGAGCATTTGGGAGGATTTCACTCACAAACACACCTTGTCAAATAGCCCGTTTTTCTCCATGAGCAGATTTCATATATCTCCACACCAAGTTCCAGTACTCAACCATGAACATTTCCAGAGATATTCGGTATGAAAAATTCGGTTTTTATGGGAGGTTCCACGCCCCCTCTATATATCGAACATTTTTTTAGCCTATAATAATCCTTGGGACGTCGGAATCAGGTGTCGGAAATTTAATAAAAATCGTTTCGGCCGTTCTCGAGCTTCGCGAAAAAATGGCTCTCAAAATATATATTGGTATAGATTGGTATGAATCGAAATGGTTTGGATATCTATCACAATATGAGTGTTAGGCGAAAGAGGTTTAAAAAGGTTGCCAACTGTTTAAAAGATTAAATTCAAACTATTCAATAATTTAAATGAATTATTACAATATCAATGAAAATGGTTTTAAAATGGCTTAATTTCAAAACTACATGTAAACGGTTTCCATCTGTTTAAAATCTCAATTGAGTTGAAAAAGTACGAAAAGTGAGAAGTTTAAGAAATTTTTAGTTTGAAAATATTTTGAAGATGGTTAAACAAATTTTAAACCTCCTGTTTTTGAATTGAGTTTTCTTGAATAAATTTTACTCAATGTAGCACGAAAAG